ACGTGATTCGTATGATTTAAGTCAGTGTAGCAAGAAAGAAATTTATCTTTATCACTAGATGTAGTTTTAAACACGGTACTGGTATGATTCTTCAATCCGTCCAATCGCTGAAAACTGCGGAAAAAGAAATCACTGAATTTAATTGTATCGTATCGTGAAGTTTAATTTAATAACTTTTTTATACTTGATGTAATCCTAGAGAAAAAAAATAAACAGCTTAATTTGTTTAGTAAGTGAAACATCTTTACTTGTATTACTTCGTTTAATCAAAGCATCAGCAATCTTTGAGTTGACAAATATGAAAACCTTGTGAAAACAGCCTCAACTCATAGTTTCTTTCTACTCTTGAAAACCTACAGCCGAATTTCAGCTTCGTGCGCACGGTGCCACACAGGTACGTAGCCAGGGGGGGGGGGGGGGGGGGGGGGGCATGGGGCCCTGGCCCCCCCTGAAATTGTCCATTTTGCTGGGACCTCCTCTCCCCCCTCCCCCTTATACAGCATTTTCTCATGGGCGTGCCGCCCCCCAAAACAAAATCCTGGCTACGTGCCTGGTACCACAGTTGCAATTTCCTCTGCGGCCGGCTCCGACTAACTATTAACCGCCACCCTGGAAGCACCAAAACTCCCAAAACAACCCCCCCCCCCCCCCAAAAAAAAAAAAAAAAAAAAAAAAAAAATATATATATATATATATACCGTATTTTCCGGACTATAGTCCGCACCCGGTGTATAGTCCGCAGGGGGAAATTTGGGGTCAAAAATAAAAGATTTTGCTTAGATAGCCCGCACCCGGTGCATAGCCCGCACCCGGTGCATAGTCCGCACCTGGTGCTTAGTCGACACGAAAATCTTCTCATAGGCGGCACACGTTTACAAGTGTCTGCTTTTTAGCTCACAATAAAGCCTATAATGTGCAGAAATCATCGTTAACTTACACTTTCGTGCAAAAAATTCGTCACGTCTCGTCATAATAAACGATCTTGAAAAACATAGTTCCTGTATAGTCCGCACGCGTAGATGGTCTGCACAGCCAGAAATTTCAACTTTTAAACATGTATAGTCCGCGGACTATAGCCCGGAAAATACGGTATACTATATATATATATATATATACGTATATATATAACGACTATAGGTTGGTTTACACACTTGTGACTGCTTACGATCGAGTGCGTTACAACCTCTTGTGATATCTAACGACGGGAGAACAGACAGGCACTCTTACGCCACCTGTGAGATGACCCTGGAAATGCATTTCACGAGAGCGAAAGTTTTGCAATATTTGTAAAATCAAAAGTGCGTACTATCTTATGTTGGGTAAAGTACATCTAAAAACTACTTGAAGTACAAAGTAAATGAGGGATAATGTATCTCAAGTAGTAAGTACATGAGGCGCAATGTACTTGAATTAAATTATTTAAGTACAATTCAATTTTAAAGAAAAGTACAAGCACTTTTGCCACAATTTTTAATGATGCCCTTTCATTCCCCTCTGTAATTCTTTTTTTTTTTTTCTTTGTTTTTTAACTGGTGTGCATTGTCTCAGGGGTAATCAGGGATGCATTCGTTATTTTCGAAAGTGTTCGCGAATATAGGATAAAGTAAAGTTGCCACAGAGTAGTTGTTTTACTCTCGCTGACGAACTATTCATTATAAGCAACTTATAAGGCACTTATTTGTATCGGTATGAAAACCGCCATTACTTCATCCAGAAAAGTGACCAGATGACGTCTCGAAAACCAATAGCATAATAATACACCATTTTTTTCTCTTTTTTAGATTTGGGGAGTGTGTTTTGATGTCGGGATGCTGTACTTTCTTTGGAAAGTACCAGAAAAGATGGTTTAAGCAAAGTGCAAGCACCAGTGGCGTGATGGCTCCCACGGAAAGTAGTTTTTTTCGCGCCCCCTGTTGATGGCTTTGTGTAAAGTCTTGCTGTCCATGAAAGCGGACTGGCTATGTCTCAGTACATATATTTCATTCGATTGTGCTAAACGCACACGGAGGGTAGATACTAAACAAGATAAGATCCTGTCAAACCACCTTTTAATCCTTGCCTGGCGCCCATAGTTTTGGGGCAAACAAATAGGACATTTAAAAATGGCGTATGTTATAAATAATTTTAAGCCAGAGACAAAAAGAAATAAAAAAAAAAAAACGGTCGCGTTAGCAGTCTGATAGATCGCGAAAACGCTTACGTCAGTTTATAGACATCAACAGAAAAGGGCTGTTTAGGATTCTGGCATTTTATTTGGCACCTTTCATTATTCACAGAACAAGTATAAAATATGAATTATACATCGTGGCACTTCATAAATACGACAACATTTTTCTTTTTTTTTTATTTTTGCTCTCGCTGAAGCGAGTTTGTCTACAACGTCATTAGAGCCAATATTCGCACTTTCTTTTCTTTCCACACTCTGCAAAGTGAGATCACAAAGTCCGTCCTAACCCATGGAAGTTTGCAAATACAAAAGTATTAATTTCAACTTGTTGAACGACCTGTCGCAGTCAGCGATAGAAACTGATATGTTTACGAGTATCTGAATGGCGATGCGAAGATTGGGAAAGACTCTCTCATCTCCCTACAGTGCAATAAAGTGAAAAAGTTTTTCAGGTCTTAATACTTCTCTCTCAACATGCGCTTCTTTCTTTTTTCTTTCTTTCTTGTTTGTTTTGGCGGCCACCGTTTTTTGGCACGAGGAGGGAACTCTGCACTAGAAGCTCGGACAGAGAGCTTTCGGTCCGAGGAGCCTTTTGTTCCATCCTAACTCAGGACTTCGTCCTCGGGTACTCGTCGGCCCGGCACCCCCTTCCTCCCCGCACCCCTCATGTGGTGGCGCCCGGGGCACGTGCCACACACAGGGTATGCCACTTACAAGTATGCATACTCGGAAGAATGCATGTACTTCAAGTAAAGTAGAAATCTTCTAAACCTACTGAATGTATTATGTGCAATATACATAAAGTACTTCCCAATACTGGCAATCTATGATAAATAGTCGCTTATAGCATTGTCTTGTGTTTTTCAAGCTAATAGTGAAAGAATGATGAAAGGAAAATATATGGAAATCGCAAGTGTTCCCCAGCTACTCCATAGAAGGCGCCCGTGTGTTTACTCGTCATAAGAGATCATAAGAGGTCGAAACGCACCCGGTCGTATAAGGTGTCGCAAGCGTGTGACCGAGCTTCAGGAATCATATGTCCTGTAACTTGAGCACTCTTTGCGAGTTTTCTACCAACAATGGCATTAGCTTTTGGTTACAAAATGCTCGAGGTGGCTGCGGTGCTCACGTAACTCTGTGATAAAGCAGTGGCAAGCTCGTGTACTGACAACGCCGCCTAGAATAATCAAAGCCCATGCACTAGCATTTCCACGCCATCACATGTGAGATCGGGTGCGCATACACGATTGGACACGAGCGTTCGACTGGTATTGATATTTGATTGATATTTGCCATTTTCGAAAAATAGTTTAATGTTGCCAACTGAGGTGCTACATATGCGTGCTATATCCAGTAACTAAACAAATATATATATTTCTGCACACGCGTCTTCGTGAGAGAAAAAGTGTTTGTGGGCAAGAACACTTCTAAATTTCACTCTCTGGTTAAATATTTTGAAAATATGCATTCCTGTGGAAACGGGGCAGGATTCTTTATTGGGACGAAAAGACGGGACGGCAGAAGAGGACCCAAAAAACGGGACTGTCCCGGCCAAAACGGGACGTCTGGTCACCCTACACCCTAGGCTTCGTTCGCTAAAACGTCGTTCGATCAGGTCAGTGCCTCCCAGGTCGTACCCAACTCAACATTAATCACGGCACATGGTGGTGTATTAATACTTCAAGATTTATAGTTTCTACCATTTTGGCGCACTGAATAGAAAAGTATCTGTAAAAATAAAAAGTAACTTCATTTAGTAACAAGTTACTGGTAAATGTACCTAAGGTACAGATACAGATACCAAGAAATGAGAGTACCTAGGTTTGTACCTCAGGCAGGGGCGGATTTATTGTGGGGTTCCGGATATCCTGACCCCCCTCTTGACTTTTACATGTGTAAAATTTAGGGCGTACAAACAAGGGAGAGGGGGAGGGGGTTCCTAAATATATGGTACGCTGACCAACACCTGACACCCCCCCTCTCAGGAAATTCCTGCATCCGCCCCTGACCTCAGGTACAACGAAAGTACTTGGATACCGATTTCCAGTTACTTGTACCCACACCCAGGTGCTACTTTACAACCCTGGCTGCGACCTTGCACAATGTTTGCCGGGTGTCGGGCGATATGCCCGATACCTGGCAGACAGTTGAATGAACGTTCTCATGAAAAACAACATCATCAACAACAACGGCTACACGCACGAACCCACACACACGAAACGGATGCTTTTCTTGCAACCGCCCAGTTTATTTTTTATTTCTGCAAATGGAGGATGGCAAGCATAGTTTTTCATTTTTTTTTTTTATCCTTTTTCGTAAATTTCCCTTGCTCCAAAATGTTTCTCTAGCCAATGATGTTAAAATCACGGCCCTACCAGGTTCTAATTTCCTGCCTTCGCATATATTTTCCAAAATTCGCGCGAAAGTACACTTTCTGTCAACGTTTTAAGAAGGATATGTCGCAAATGAGTTGTCGATTCTGAATTACGCGCCGATATCAGATGCCGCACGTCAAATCGCCGTGACCGTGCGCCGCCGCCGACGAATATCCGGCACCGACCGCGCCACCGACGCCGCACCGCTGACGCCTCCACACCGCCGCTACCGCTGCCGACTAAAAACGACCGCCACTCCGCCACGCCGCTGCCGGTCGAAATGACATCGACGATAGTTTATTTTTGCAGTGAGAAAACACTGCTCCTTTTTGGAATGGATCGTTTGTTAGTTTTGTAATGTGTGTAATAATGACGTGTTTGCTTGGTTAGTCTCTTTGTTGTTGTTTTTTCGTTTCTTTTTATGAACTGGCAACCGCCCTATCTCGTTTCAAGGTCTCCAATCCAACACCAATCCAGATCCATTTATGTTTCCCGCGCTCGGTGTTTTTTGCAATGGGATATTTTCGCTTACATTAGTGCGGAGTGTAGGGATAATTGCTTTCCAAGCATGTCTTCACCGATGCTAGTTATAAAAGGGGTCACCATCCATTTCCCGCACGAGCCGTACGATGTCCAGAAGATATACATGGAGAAGATGATTGAATGCCTCCAAAGCGGTGTGAACGGCATCCTCGAAAGTCCGACGGGAACAGGAAAAACGCTTTCTCTGCTCTGCTCATCGTTGGCTTGGCTCGAAGATCGCAAAGCATACCTTCAGCTGAATGCTGGAATGCACAAGAGCGCTGACACCAGTTCGTCGGGACTCCTATCACACCTCGAGCATCTGTTCGGACCATGCGACGGTGTCGTGCCTAGCAGCTTATCCCCGAAAATAATATACAGCTCCCGCACACATTCGCAGCTCTCTCAAGCCATCAACGAACTCAAGAAAACGAGTTACAAGTACGTGAGGTCTGTAGTCTTGGGATCGCGAGATCAGCTATGCATCCATCCGGAAGTGCAGAGGCTGCAGGACAACGCATCGAAACTCAGGCTGTGTCGGCACAAGGTCACCACCAGGAGCTGCCAGTTTCACCTGAACTACGACACCAAGATGACGCGATCGGAGTTTCAGGAGCAATCAGTAATGGACATCGAAGACCTGGGCAAACTTGGAAAGAAGTTCGCCTGCTGTCCCTACTACGCAGCCAGGACCCTCAAGGAGAAGGCGGACATAATCTTTTTGCCGTACAACTACTTAGTGGATCCCAAGTCTCGAAAAGCGCACGGTGTGGACCTCGCAGGAAACGTCGTCATATTCGATGAAGCGCATAACATTGAAAACATGTGCGAGGAGAGCATGTCGTTTCAATTGCTCTCTTCTGATGTGGCCTTGTGTATCAAAGAGGTGAGTCACGTGGCCGATCTGAAGCAGCAGAAAGAAACTGAATCCGCATTCGGATCTGAGGGTGCAGAGCCCGACTTCACACTCCTGGATATTGCCAAGGTCAAGGCCATATTGTTTTCCATAGAAGGCACCATGGACACGGCGGTGGCACAGGCCTCGGGAGAGTCAGTCACGAAGCCAGGGAACTTTATGTTTGAGGTTCTGAACATGGCAGGTGTAGATCGTGTCAACAAAGATGAGCTCCTCGATCTCTTGGATAAGATGGTGTCTTTTCTGGAAGTCAATGCAGTAGGAGCCTTCAGCCCGAAGGGGACTGGGTTAAACCGGCTCTCAACGATCCTGAACAGCCTTTACGCTGTTGAGGGTGATGGATCCTCCGTGGAGTCAATTTTCAAGCAGAAGTACAAGGTGCACATACAAAAAGATATAAATAAGAAAAAAGGGTCCCAAGATGTTTGGACGGTGTCTAGAGCAACAAACAAGAAGCCAGACTGGACACTGAACTGCTGGTGTTTCTCGCCGAGTGTCAGCATGACTAACCTGCTAAAGCAAGGCATCCGCAGCATCATCCTGACCAGTGGAACACTCTCGCCTCTCGGGTCATTCGCATCTGAACTGGGTATTCCATTCCCTGTACAGCTAGAGAATCCGCACGTCATCTCGGACAAGCAGATTTATGTCAGTGTGCTTAGCAATGGCTGTGACGGACAGTTGTTAAACTGCACCTATGAGAACCGAAGCAACACAAGCTATTTGGCATCTCTTGGTCGGAGCATCAGTAACTTCTGCCGAGTCATCCCTGGAGGAGTTCTTCTCTTTTTTCCGTCGTATGCAGTGATGAAAAGCTTTGTTGAGTTTTGGACCTCAAATGGGATTATGGCTTCCCTTGCCCTAGTTAAGCCTGTCGTAATGGAAATGCAGAGAAGCGTCGACTTCTCTACACTCATCCAGGAGTACTACGAGAATGTGGATTCGGCTGAGAAGAAAGGCTGCATTCTCATGGCTGTTTGTCGGGGCCGCATGAGTGAAGGAATGGACTTTGCTGATCAGTATGCACGGGCAGCTATTATTGTAGGCTTCCCACTTCCTCCGTGCTTTGATCCACGAGTCCAGCTGAAGAAGCAGTATCTCGACGAGTCCGCATCAAAGAGTACCTTCTCGGGAAATGACTGGTACCTTCTTCAAGCAACCCGAGCTGTTAATCAGGCCATTGGGCGTGTCATTCGGCACCAAGATGATTTCGGAGCAGTCCTGTTTTGTGACAAGCGCTACAGCGAGAAACGCAATCTGAGCCAATTGTCCAAGTGGATTAGGGAAAGGACCAGGGTCCAGTCAAATTTTGGCACAGTTTTAAGGGAGCTTTCCAACTTTTTCAGGGGACCCGGCACGAGCAACAGGAGTCACACAGCAGCTCTTAGAAGCGGCAGTCTATCCTCGACAAAAAACGAGGGACTGCCCAGTAACGCTTTTGGAATCTCTTCGAGTAGCCACAGCAAACCTAGTGAAAGGTATGACTCTTTTAAATCTCCTGCAGTTGATGAAGTGGCCAGTGATGTTCTGCTGAGCTACATGCCTCAAGTGGACAATGAAACAAGATCTATAAGAAGTGTGGGGGAAACTCGACTCAGCATCTTTGATGCACTTAACACGACCCCAGTGTCCAAAGCAGTGGACTTCTCTAGCTACAGCAAAATAAACTTTCGTAGTGACGCTGACACGGACAGTGAGTTTTCCCAGAAGACGAAAAGGCGAAAATATCTTGTGCCGTTGAAAGGCATCGAGCCAACCACAGGTGCCTGCTCGTCACGGGAAAGTGCTGCCTCTTGTAGCAGTGCTGTTTCCAGTAATGCTGCCTCCAACAGCACTGCTCCCACTTCCAAGGACATTTGGAAAAACATACTGGGCTCCATGAAGAAAAGTCTTGGGGATCACGACTACAACTCTGTGTGTATGAGCATGAAGACCTTTGTTCGGACACAGGACTCTGATGCGCTTGCTCAAAGCCTGGCACACTCCCTTCTCAATGCCCGGGATCGGGAATCCTTGCTTGCGCAGCTAGCAAGAGTGGTGTCCTCATCAACAAGGAAAGACTTTGTGCTCAAGTGCCGTTCTCACTGGTGAAAGAGCTACCTAGTGGACAGAGCTAGCTTTTATATACCAAGTCTCTGACCAAATGACTCTTCTAGAAGAAGACCAGTCACATTTATTATTTTATTTAACCTGCTTTGATTTTGGATGCATGAAAAATTTCCAAAAATGTTTTTATTTTCACCTTTGCTTGAAAATGGCACGTTTGGCTATTTTGTTAGCAATGGAGAACTGTTCTTTTGTGATTTCCTAACCTGACCAAAAGTGTAAACTTCGTTTCTTTTGTGTTCTTTACAACAGAAATTATAGCAAACATGTCTATAAATGCACTTTTAAAATAAAATCTTGTTTTCCATTATATGCTTCCTTTGTTTCTACGTATGCTCACTAGGTGAAGTATTGATCATTATAAAATGAGAAATTCACTCGCACAGCATATTTTCTGGCATTAACAGATGGAATGTTGTTAGCTCTTAGTTTAAACATGCAAAATGGCTGTGCTACTTTGTTCAAGTGAGGTCCAATCGAACATACTTTATTTTTGTCTCGTCTGTGCAATGTGAGATAGTGTATGGGAAACAACCTTGTCCTGACCTAGTCATCTAAGGTTGTTGCTTGTGCTTATAGTGTCATTCCTTTTTTTCTCATTTCAGATAGTGAAATAGATGAACTAGAAGGACCCACAGTGCACTACAAGCCAGAAGCCATCGAGACGTTGTGCCAGCTGACAAAGTTCAATAAGCGGGAGCTTCAGCTCATGTACAGAGGTTTTAAGCAGGTATGTTAAAAGTCATGTCATCAGTTTTCCTCTAGGATGCTCACTCCTGCAAGCCCTGTCGATGAGCAATTCAGTATTGCCTTGAAGCTGTTTTCTTTTATTATCGTATCTTGCGAAGAAGGTGAAGTTCACCAGCAATTCGATGGACTCTGATTCACCCTATGATGTACTGCAATGGACGATACGAGCCATCTTTACCAATCCAGCGCTTCACTCGTGTCGTGTGACTTCAGGCTCTGCGTGCCATTTTGCCCAATGGGAGGGTCACCTGACACGCTTTGAGCTATGTATTTGCTTCGGTGGCTCGTAGCAGCCCCTGCATCATGGTGAGGTGAAATGAAGTATAGTTCTTTCCCTTACTGAATATCTTGAGATTGAAAAATTTTGAATTGTACTGTCTCCTTATCTTAATTCTAACATCAAAGAAGATGTGCATAGCGAGTAAATATTCCTTTAGATAAACATCCTGTACAAGTTTCGCTTTTTGTGAGCTTCTGAATGCCCAGCGAGGTCTTGTCAGCTGTTATATCCTACTCAACCTAGGGTAGACTATAAATGTTGAAAAATGTTCTCTACAGAGAGTGGCAATAACAAAATAAGTTTAACCCCTCAAGTGCCTGAGCTCGTCAGCCACTTTCTGGCTAAAAATGCCGTAGACGAGCCCAGCTCGTCCGCGGTAGCGCTCACTTCCATGGACGGGCTAGGCTCGTTTGAGTAGTTTTGCGGCGCTGATCATAGATGGGCATCACTCGTTTTATTTGGCAAATATTTTTTTCACCTCCGCTGATTTTTGCGTAATAAACTTTTCAAATTTTATGTGTGATGCTAGAGGAATAACAATTTCAAAATAAAAAAAATATGGCACTTTTCGGTTACTTTTGGAAAAAAAAATTTGGCACTTAAGGGGTTAAACAGCAGCAGAGGTTTTTGTAATGGTATGTGTGGACTGAGACGGACGAAGCTCGACGGTTAAGGGAAGTGTGTGTGCACGTTCAAGAAAAGAAAAACGCTGAGACTGGGTTCTGACATGACTGTCCACTTACAAACATCTTCAGCATGTTGCATGCAGCAGTAGGATGAAAGCAGAAGCTATCACCCCTGTCCTCCTGGACATCTTCACTGATAGCTTTGTATCCTGGGCAAAGCACTTCGGTGCTTGTGCGGCAGCCAACAGTTGCAATGATGCCCAAAAGTTGGCGTACATACCGACACGCTTGCGCGGAAGAGTCTTCAGTGTCTTTCGGCATCCTTCCGAGAATGAGGAGGCCATTTTTTCAGATTAGTGAAGGTCTTGACTCGTCATTCGGCGTTAGTGGTTCAGCATGCTGTGTCTGCTGCATAGTTTCGATAACACTGTTGTCGACCCGGAAAAGCTCTGGACAACAGGGTTTAAAACAGTGCAGAAGGACTCGATTCTAACCACCCATATTTTTTTTTTCCAATTCTTGATGCTTCACAAGGAGGGGGTGCTTAAAGGGACAATGAAGACGATTTTACTTAATTTTTTTAAATGGCGTTTTTATGCTTCTCGGGAACATAGCATGCTGCCCAATTTTTTGTAGACATTTGTGACACATATTTTTGTGCCTACGAAAGAAGTAAAGAAATCGAAACTGAACAATCTCCATTCTCGTTTTTGGGCCTGCGAAAACGGAGGTGACGTAGGGAGTGACGTCAAGTGTGAATAGTCGGTATCGGTAGTATTTAGGAGATCGAGACTCTGGTTACCACGGTGGGTTATAGCAGCGCAGTGGCACGGTTGTTTCGTCGAATCTGTGAACATGGACGGCAATGCCGCTCTCGCGAGCGAGTTCAAGCTTCCGTTCAGTGACCCAACACAAACGGAACGGTAGTATGTGTGTGGCGGCCTACGCAATCACCCGACGGAGACCGCCCAGTCGGTAACGAGCGGCCCGCATGCCGAAGTGCCCTTAGTTGCTCGTTGGCCGTTTCGCGTCCAGCGTAGCAAAGGAAAAAACAATTATGCTGCTTTATTTACGGTTTAGTAATCATTCCCGGTCCGATTTATACCTTTCGTGGTTATTCAAGCGGAAATTAGAACAGTATTTCTAAAAATCGCGAACCAAAACGTGATCGAGGGCACATCTCTTGTTTCGACCCATCTCTGACGCGTCTCTTGTGACGTCGCACTTCTTGGCCTCGCACCGGTCACGTGAGCTCCGCTTCTCCTGGCTTCTCTCGCAACTCTCGGGGCGTTGCCCCAGTCGATCCTGGTATGATTATTACCGTGACTGTTTAATTGATTTGCGCGGCACGCAAGCGCCGGTTTCGGCTGAAATTTGGGCAACGTGGCCTGAGACGTGCCTGGAACCCAGTTCAATTGAAAAAAGATGTCCGAAATTGCCTTCCTTGTCCTTTTATGGACAGTGAGGACGCTAAATGTTACATAATTTCAGCAAAGATATATTACTTTCTTTTAAGTGAAATAAAAGGTAAAATAGAACACGGAAGACACAACAAATACAGGAGATTGTCACTCTGACGAAAATTATCCCTAGAGAAGGGGAACAAGAGGGACAAAGGCCAAACACAAATCTCCAAACACAGCTAGTGACTGGTGCACAACCGGAGAAATCCGCCTGGTCCGGGTATTGAACCTGGGACCTCTCCATTTCCAACGGAGTGGTCCTGGGTTCGATACTCGTACCAGGCGGATTTTTTCAGTCGCGCACCAGTCACCCAGCTGTGTTTGGAGATTTGTGTTTGTCCTTTGTCTCTCTTATTCCCCTTCTCCATGGATAATTTTTGTCATTCTTGTCCAGCTCGCTTGCACCTTTGCATTTATTTGTCATTATAATCATTGTCACTTTACTTGCCGGCACAGCTCAGAGCACACCATGCAGCATGCTTCACTCAATCACTTTCACTCGACAACGAGTCCTCGCTGCATCCGTTCGAGCTGCTGCTGCTTCAGTTGCTATCTGTGTCCCACAAGAGGTCGTCCTCAGATCTGTCAAGACTTCTTGAAGGACTTGACCATGACGTCGGCCTGGACCCTCTTCCACGCCTCCGAGGTCTAAGTCGCGACGGTTAATGGGGAGGCTTTCTACAGCCTTCCGTTGGAGTCTTTTTACTGTCGGGGCTCCGGATCCAATCCTTGTATTCTTGACACAAATTCTCTTTGAACGGCTTATTTATCGAGACGTTCATGGACTGAAGTACTGAAATCATCCCACCTGGCATGACCACCAGATCACAGCTGCTGTCCTGGAGCTCTGTTTTTACCTCCGGGGTAAGGGGCCCACGGTAAGCGTCCAGCACAAGCATAGAATGCATGCCGTCCAATCCGCCAAGCGATGCTCCGGGGCAATGTTGTTACATAACTTTGATCCAATCCAGCATAAGCTTCCTTATCATCCAGCCTTTTTATTGGACACGGACGATGACATCCTCCAGAAAAGTCTCGTTCTTAGGCATACCGTATTTACTCGAGTAATAGCTGCATTGTTTATGAAGAAAGCCTGAGGGTTCGCTTTTCCGCAGAGCACGCAGATTGCCAATGACCGCGATCGACAGCATGATTCTAGCTGTTTACAAGACAGAGATAACGTCTTCGTGCAAAGATACCATCTGTGAAGATTGCATTTGTACAGAGAATCGTGTTCTCGATCTGGTTCTTCGTATGTTATTTATGCACAACGCAATGATTGGCTGTATATGTGCTTTGCGGGAAAGTATACACAAGGGCCTTGTTCATAAATAGTGCGGCTATTACTCGAGTAAATACGGTATTCTTCCACTTCAGAATAATGTACGGCGGGAGCTTTCGGCCGTCTGCCGTAATGTATAACATAACCATTACGTGCTGCTTCTCATAGCCTGTGGTCCGGATTTTGTTCTCTCACGCGCCTACTTCATTAACGGTCGACGTCCTTGGCATGTCAAGATAGACTGGCGTCTCATCCGCGTTGCCAATCTGGCCAAGGCCATAGCGGCGTTTTCTGCGCAGCTTCACACACTGCTGAAAACTGGTCAGCTTATCTTCAAAGTCGGCCAGCAACTTTTGACATAACGTCATGCGGCGTCTTAAAAAAAATTAATTTCTCTTCATCACCCGTTCCACCCAGCCATGGCTAGCACGGAACACCTTACAAGAGATCTGCTTTTGTGTCGCAATTTCCATCGCTTTTCGCTGGATGGAATCAGCTGTTGCAGCAAAGCCGCTGCACCTTTCACTGCGAATGAACTCGCAGACTTTCTCTTCGAGCTCTGGGTGCCGGCCCTTCCGTGGTCCCATGAACTTCTTACAGGTCGCAGTGCTCTTGAAAATCAGCTCCCGCCGCTTTCTCTACCGAATCGCGCAGGACCTGTCCACGCCGAAATTCTCAGCAGTGCTGTGATTTCCATTCTCTTCCGCAAACGAGACCACTATTCTCTTGAACACTGAACGAATAGGAAGTTCTCTTCGCACTCAAGCTGATGCGAGACTGATCAAAGACTGGTCGAAAGCCACCCAAACAAAACAAGGATGGCCTTTCGACACTGACGCAGCTGATGCTCCTCAAAAAGAAAGGTAGAAAGAGCAAGAACACTTAAATCCGTGCGAGCACACGATTCATGTGTCGCCATCTATCCAGTGATTTTGAAACTTATTTCCAGCGATCAACGTTGCCAACAGCTTGGCGATTCCAGTCTCACCTTCCACTGAGGAACAGTGGCACAACGCTCTCAAATTTTGAATGCATTTAAAAAAGGGATGCTTGCATTCGCGTGCAAACTTTTTTTTACCGTTCTGACTGGATAATTGCGGAGGGGGAGGTGCTTAGAATTGCATAAACACGGTTAATATTGGAAATTCCACATGTGCACAGTGTCCTCCAGATGCACATGCTCATCTAATCACATATTTGTGGGGGCCATACCACGGAGTAAAATCAGCACTAGATTAACCCGAACGTTAGCTCGTGTAAATCAGGAGCGTTACATGTAAAGATGTAACCAGGTGGGAGAGGAAATGAATATCAAAAAGACGATTATTC